GGATATCCCAGTCCCAATTTGTCTTTATGATGTCAAAGTTCCTGGAAACTTTGAAAATGAAGATATAAAATGCATCTATATTTCACAGTTGCAGCAGTTTGATACCACTTTAACTGTCATAGCTTCATCTTTTGGAATCCTTTGTTGTTGTTAACTCCCCTCAAATCAGTCTCGACTCATGGTGATCCTATGGATGACACATCTCCAAGACTCCTTGTCCTCTACTGCTTTGTTTAGTTCCTGAAAACTCATACCTCCTTAATATAGTCCATCCATCTGGCATGTGGCCTTCCTCTGTTTCTTTCCTAACATTATTGTTTTTTCCAATAAGTCCTCCCTTCTCATGATGTGTCTGAAGAATGACAGCTTCAGTTTGGTTATCTTGGCTTCCAGGGAGATTTCTGGCTTGATCTGATCAAGGACCCAATTGTTTGTCTTTTTGGCTGTCTATGAGATCCTCAGCACTCTTCTCCAGCACCAGATATCAAATGAATTGATTTTCTTCTTATTTTCTTTCTTATTTGTCCAGTTCTCACATCCATACATGATAACAGGGAATACAATGGCTTGTACGATTCTAACTTTTGTGCTCCGTTGTATATCATTTTAGGATATACAATGTACATATTACATTTTAGGATCTTTTCTAGTTCTTTCAGATCTGCCCTCCCCATTCTTAGTCTTATGATTTCTTGACTGCAGTCCCCACTCCTATCAATGTTTGATCCTAGGTATGAGAACACTTTTACTATTTCTATTTCCCCATTGCCTAGGTTGAATTTGTGTAAATTCTTCAAGGTCATTATTTTTGTTTTATTTATGTTGAACAGTACACTTTCTTCCCTTATTTTTCTTAGTAGTAGTCGATGGAATCCTAGCATATGACATTTGGTGAAATACTTAGAATTTGCTGCAGCGCTCTAGTGCTGTAGTGCAGGAAAGTGGATGGGTTCCCTGAGAGTGACCATTGTCTACTGAAATCAGATGGCTTTTATTACTGTTGACTGTCATTTGCTTATTTGTTGATCAATCAGTTATGGATAAAGATCACTAAAATGCTAGAAATGAAAGGCCCACAATGCTTGGCCTGGCTTCCAATCCTGACTTCTTGCTACCCTTTTATGTTAAAGCTGCATATCACTCTTAACTGAGGCCTGTACTGAGGATCCAATATTCAAACCGTTTATTGTCTGGCAGGACTGGCACATTCCCATATACCCAAGGATGACTCCTCTTTATCTTTACCTGAAGAGGCAAGCAATGATGAACTATGTCTTGGCTTTTACTTTTATTTTCAATAGTTCTTTTTAGATTAGTTGTTATCTTTGGCTCAGGAAACTTGCTGCTTGAATCCTGGACAGTTCTTAGTAAACATTTCTACAGACAGTAATTCTTTTAACCCTTATGTTCCAATTTGCAGCAGACTCTAGGAGAAAAATAATATTGGCAATTCATAATGGATGGCTCATCACAATATATTTTATAATATTTTCAGTGACATCAAATTTATGTTTTTAAAAGTACATGCTTCGATTAACTGATTATTTCATATACTTAGGCTTAATATATCTGTAGCACATGTGTAGATTGAAATCTTCCAATTAAATGATAAATAATAATAATTACAACAAATACATAATCATAGAAATCATACATAACAGAAATTATAAATAATTATAATAATATAGTATTCATAACTATATACATTATAAATAATGATAATATGATACTCATAACGGAGGGTGGGAAAGTTATTTTTTTGGACTAAAAATTCCCTAGCCAACAAAGCCATGCTGTCTGGGGATTTCTGGAACTGGGAGTTAAACAAAATTTTTCAAATTCTGCTTGTAATGACCAACAATGGGGAACTTTCTATTTATTTCAGGAACAGAATATTAAAATTTATTCTGGTCATCAAAAGTTGACAATTAAAGCCCAATGATTTCAGTAGGCTGTAGTCTTGATTTTATTATCTACAAAGTCAATACCTTCTCTCGATGTCCTTCCCTTGCTGTCAGAACAATCTGTCTTTAGAATTTATCTTGTTTAAAAGCAGAGATTTAATGCAGTGGGGGACCCTTGGGGGAAAAACCCTCCAGTGTCTGTCAATGACCTGATTAAGCCATTTATAGGCTTCCTTCAACTTTCAATTAAAAATCTCAGCTACCTTTATTAACAGAGTCAGAGAGCTTCAGAGACTATGTTGTCAATCCCATGAGTGGTCTCTTTCACTGAGCATTTATTAACTCATATCTTTGCTAGTTCATCCCTATGAACTGTCCCTACATGAGAGCTGTTGGGTGCTAAAAGCTTTTAAAATGTTTTTAGTACATGCAATGCACCCAAATTAGTTCAAAAGTTTGAATCATATAATAAGCCAACCAGGATCAAAGAACTGTCAGTGAAAAGTGAGAAACATTAGCAAATGTTTGAAGTAAATTAGATGCTATTTTATCCAACTTTTATTTTAGATTAGATTAGAATGAACAGAAGACTATTGAATGTTGTTATTATTGGGATGTTTTGTTTTAAAACTTTGCTTTGAGCTGAAGTTTTAATTTTCTTGAAGCCTATTGTTAACTCTTTGATTTGATCAGCAGTTCCTGATTAAAACTGAATTATCATTGAAATTAAAGAACTGCTTACTTTAAAATTATTTTCAAAGATACTTGGGTAAGTCATACTCTTTGCAAAGATACTTGACTGATCACAGGTTTGATCCTAAAATTATAGAACAGCAGAGCTAGAAGAGATTGCAAAGGCTACCAAGGTCCAACCCCTAGCAATGCAGGAATGAGCAGCTAAACCTTCTTAGAAGTTGGCAATTTCCATTTAAAAATCACAAATGAGGGGAGACTTTAGCAATTTCCAAGATACTCCATTCCACAGTTGAACAGCTCTTAGTCACAGGATAAACTTTATCTAGAATTTCCTTTTCTGTCATTTAAATCTCTTGGTTGGCTATCCTCTTGCACAGAAAAAGTATGTTTGTTCCATCATCCATATGATAGTACTTGAGATAGCTGAAAATGGCCATTATATCTCTCACTCTTCCCTTCCCCAGGTTAAACATACTCAAATTCCTCAACCAGTCCTGGCCTCTGGAACCTTTATTGCCTTGGTCACTATCATTACTTTTCCTTTTTGCATGTCAATATCTTTCTTAAACTGTGGTGCCTATAAATGGAATTTAATTTTATGTATGTGATCTGGTGGGTTCAGCTACATCAAGAGCTGTTCTGATGTTGATAGTCTGGGGACCTTGTTCCAGTCATAGACTTATTGACACGTTACATGACTGCAAGCTTTGGGTTTGTAGACTGAGCAGTGCCATGTGACTCCTATGCTTGGAGGCCTGCATTATTTCATTCATGGTGAAATATGTGTATGTAGGGGCATTCAAGTTGCCTGTAAATAGGCACTGACTATTTGGCTATGTCTGAGTATGCTAACAGGCAGAAACATGTGAGTGGCAAGAAAAGCTCTGTCTCAGTCACGATCCTCCTGCTAAACATGGTATGGCCCAAAATGTAGTTTATGACAATGTGTTTTATGAAGACCATGCCCAGTCAGCTAAAATTTCAATACAGTTTATACAGTTGGGCCAGATTAGTGTTGAGTTTTGTTGCAGAAACAACATTGTCAAATTTGTATGCTGAACTGTTGTTTGGCTTAGAATAAATACAACTAGCAAAGTAATGTTAGGAAGCAATGAATGGTACAAGAAGACAAATAATATTGGGAACAGATTAAATAATTACACCAATAGCTTAAGTATTATTATATGACTTTAGTTCTATAAAATGATATACAGTATTTAAAATGTGTGAAAGTAAAAAGTCTGTTGGCTGAAATATAAGGAATTATTTTAACCCTCTCCAAGAGTGGTATAGGGAAACTATATGTTTTCAATTTTTCTATTAATGAACTAGTACTTGAAGTATAATTTGTTAGGCACTGTCCAGTGTAGTGTAGTGGTATGAACATTGGTCTATGACTATGAGATCAGGGCTCAATTCCTGGCTTGCCCATGAGCCCACTGGGTGACCTTGGGTAAGTCATACTCTTTCAGCCTCAAGGGTAGGCAATGGCAAAACTCCTCTGAACAAATCTTGCCAAAAAACCCATGATAGGGTTGCCTTATGGTCACCATAAGTCGGAAATGACTTGAAGGCACACAACAACAAATAACATACACATTCGCATAGCCCTCCTGACCAGCTAGAACATGCCTACATGGCCTGAAAGAGGGAGGAAATTGTTTAGTGTTTCCTGAAATGCTTTAATTTTGCAATCTGCTATTCATCTGAAAACTATTTTATGTAACGTGAATTGATACATGCTGGTAAACAGAATTTTCAACTAAATGTCTGTATGTTTACTCTGATTGTTGTTGTGTTTTCAAGTTGTTTCTGACTTATGATGACCCTAAAATGAACCTACCATGGGGGTTTTGTGGCAATATTTATTCAGAGGATGTTTGCCATAGTCTGATAATGCTGTCTATTTCAGTGAAGAAATAAATTGCTTCAATGGTGACTATGCTTAGCTACAATAGGTTTGATATGGGTACCAAACAGAACTAGATAAACTTCAGTACCTAATGTACACCATTCTCAGTGGTACTGATGGTTATTCAGAATGGCTTCAAATGATTGAAAAGGAGGTAAGGTGAAGCTTTCCAGGTATTATTGGACTGCAAATCCCAGACACCCTACCATAGCTAGTAATGAGGAATGCTGGAAGTTGTAGCTCAATAGGATCAGGAGAGGTATATGACTCCCTGGACTAAAATGTATCTCTGGTCATGCTAGCTGAGGATTATTGGAAATGTCTTTTTTTGTTGGGACTGTTTTTCCTCCTATTGCTTGACATCAGTGAATGAATGCAAGAAGACATCAAGCACTATATAATGATTGTAAATATTTGAGTCATGTGTAGGGGCTTTCATGAGATTTGTTGAGGTAATCTTTGCACTTGGCTAGTCATTCCTGTAGGCAGCCAGTGTGGTGTAGTGATTTGAGCATAGGACTATAACTCTGGAGACCTGGGTTCAAATCCTGGCTTGGCCATGAAAACCAACTGGGTTAAACTGAGCAAGTCACACTCTCTCAGCCTCAGAGGATGGCAATGGCAAATCTCTCTGAAGAAACTTG